ATGGCTGATAAAATCAATGACCCCTTATCTGTGCATAATAATGTTTTGTTTTTGTTTTAGGTTGTAAGATTCATCAGACATTCTCCTCTACTTTCACATTGTCTTCAAATTCAATCGATTAGCTACCATGGGTAATAAATCTCAGTCTCTAATCAATGGAGAAATTATCACCACTTGATTTCTTGGTGTTGCACTTCGATCGACTGAATATTGCAGCAGGCCTCGAATATGACTTTTGCAAAACAGATTAAGCTAGGGCCAGATCAGGTTGTCTGAGATTTGGAACCAACACAATCCATGACAACACACCATTGCTATTAATTCCTTGTATATACAGCAGTGATTCATTAAGTGCTTCACAGCACAGCACAGCACAAGTGAGATCCAAAAAGTGCACAGGCTGGGTCGTTAATCTTTTTTTCCAGCAGCAGTAATTTTCTTTTTCATAAATTTAATGCAAGTCATTTTTTATGCCATTATTTCTTTGACCTTTTAATGCAGTTCCCAGTACTTGGAAAAACAGAGGTGGAGTCCAAGAAAAATTAGGTATTGAGTTAACTTTAAAAGTAAATGCATTTTTGTTTCTTTTCTCAGCTCTTTTAATTTCAATAGGCAAATTGCATTCATGTTAGCCCGCGCGAAGATTTAAAGGCCTGATTTATTTACTCGTTTTGACCACATAAATAAATAAATACTATCAGGGATGCAGTTTGTTTGTGTGGTCGGTAAGTAGATATCTCTGAATGATGCTGTTATTGTTTGGGGGTGTAGAGAGTTTTGGCAGTCATGGATTGGGCGGCTAGACTGACAGCTCTTGGGTGGATTCCCTGCTCTAAAGATAGACAGGGGTGTTGGCTGCTCTGTGGTCCACATCCAGAAACATTTGAGAGAATGGCCTCCCTCATCACTGCTGGCTCAGTCAGTCATAAATGAACGCTAAGACAAATAATGCATATTTTTACAAAATGTAAACTCCCTATATTATTATCATATTTCACTGAGATGACATGTGGTTTGGAGTGTGTTTTTGTCCATGACTATCTTTTTTGGCCTCTAGATCTTTCCAGAGATCCTGAGTCCTGAGGCCAGATTAGGGCTGCATGGATACACCGATACATAGAAAGGCATGTACAAACACAGGGTGCAGAGCCATTTAAATTCTAAACATATGGCTGCAGTACATAGAGCTGGCTGTTAACTGCCTCACTACCTTTGGCTTCCAGGGATTTATTGGACTAGAGTGTTTTGATTTATATGACCATTTTACTAATTTTACACAAACTATATTTAAAACTTTCTCATCTAAATCTAACTGTACTGATTAACAATTTCATGAATATTCAGCCAAACCTCAAAACAAAATATGTATATCTTTTCTCTTTCTTCTGTTTTAACTGGACCAGAAATGTTTGTGATGGATGTATTAAAGGTACAGTGTGTAGAATTCTGTTATATTGAGTGTTGAAGTTGAATGTTGCAGCTGAACACCCCTCACCTCACCCTCTACTTCCAAACATGAAAAAGAACCTGTGGTAGCTTCAGTTGTCATAAAAACTCAAAAGGTGTTTAGTTTGTCCAGTCTGGACTAATGTATGCAAATATAAAGTATTTAAATATAAAGGGCCTTTTCTGGGGTAAGGAAAACTGCAATTTATACAATTTAGATGAAACAACTAGTGAAAACATCATGAGGATTATTCTACATTAACTTTCTGCCAATCGTTCCCTTTCACCTAAATCTTACACACTGGACCTTTAAGATGATACAGACTACATCCGCACTTCTATGTTATCGATCGAAAATGCATCAATTCTGTTACAACTGCCATCCACACTTTTCTGACTTTTAGATTCACAAAAGACAGTAGATTGGA